GTGAAGCCTCTCGCCGCCCCTGCACCTCTGGCCTGTACCCCAGTTCTGTATGCACAAATAAATAAATCTTAAAAAAGAAAGAAAAGTAGAAGTTTATACTGAGTCTGCCTGGCCTTAGGGAGGACAGTAGGATAACATCCCCGTGGCAGAAGGAAGTCCTGGATTCAGACACTGTCTGCCACTTTCTAGCTCTATGACTTAGGAATTCCATGTTTTGGTGCCTCATTTTGGGCTTTTTAAAAAATGTATTTATTTCTGCATACAAGAACTGGGGTACAGGCCAGAGGTGCAAGGGGTGAGAGATTCACCAGAGACAGTGTGGGGAGCAGAATAGATGGATCTATTGAAATACACACTGAGGGCAGCAGCGGGCAGGTCAGGAGAGGTCTGCTGCACCTTGTGGGTCAGCTCCCTGCCCGGGGATAGAACTCGAACTCCTGCTGCAGTGGCTGTGGAGAGCTTCATAGTGCTGCGCTTTAAACCATTGCACCACCAGGGAAGGTCTAGTGCTTTGATTATGTCTATAGATGGGAACCCTGGGAGGGTTCAAGGTCATGTGGCACAGAGCAGATGCTTGGTGAGTGCACGCAAGTGCAGAGAACATACAAATCCCTCTGTCAGGCCACGGACCTACTCCTGACCAAGAACCACACCAGCCAAGTATTAATGATTCACCTGCATGATGTTAGACAATGTGATTCACAAGGTGTTGACAAAGTTAGACAAGAAAGGAAAGTGTGGAGACCCCCAAGTAGATAAATTCGTATTTGGAGAGAAACTTGAAGTCCATCTGAGGGCAGAAAATCAGGTGTCAGTGAATGAGCACTGGACTAGGAGTCCAGACACCCAAGTCTCAGGCAGCACCGCCCCACCTGGGCGGCCCAGGGACTGGTCCTGCCTGAACCTGACCCCCTGTCTGTCTCCTCCAGCAGAAGTGAAGAGCACTGTCTGCCAGGGATAGCTGGGGTGTCTTGCCGCCCGTGGTCAGAAAGGCATCTCAGTGTGGTGAAACAGGCGGGCGACGCAGGGACATCCTTACAGAAGTAGAGTCAGGCTCAAGCAAGATGCTGTCACGAATGCCCAGATGAGGGAGACGGGTTGGAATAGTTCCTTGAGTTCCTGGCTTCACCAGTGCCCTTCATGGTGCCAGCACAGTTTGGGGCAGTGGGGGGGGGAAGGGGGGCGGGGTGTCTGCACCAGTGGATGCCAGCCGCTTTCGCCTGTTGTTGACTGTCTCTCACTCTCCCCCGCGTCCCACTTTTGGGTCCATCCTACCTCTTGCAATCCCATCCTTTTCCCTTCATTATGTCTCCACTTTCTGTGGCGAAGTTTGTGGACCATAATACCTCAACCCTCCCCCGTTTAATTGTTCAATTGGCCCTGAGAGAATCCAGAAAATGAGAGAGGCGCCCACTGGCTGGCGACAAGGCCGACAAGATCACTCAGCAGCTCCTGCCTGGCACACACCCTGCGGAGTGGCTGCTCACACATTCCACATAGAGGACAGAGCATCTGGGCATCTGGGCTGGCACCTTGAGGGGGGTGTTGGGGCCAGCAGCCGAGGAGCACCCTGGCTCCAGGGAGATGGGCCCCACCACACTCCCACAACTCCTTCTAGCATGCTCGTGCTGTGCAAGAGCGTCTCTGCTCCTGCAGTCCTCTCCTAGAAAAGATGTGCTTTCACCCAAGCACAGAGCAGGGTCTGGCTGCAGGCTGCAGGCCTCCCCAGGCCACCTGGAGCCCCCAAGGTCAGCTCTCTGGGTGCAGGTACAGAAGAGTACCTGACCCTGAGCATGGTATTTGGAAGAGAGACCCACATGTGGCTGCAGCCCAGCCACGGACCTGGACACATCCGCCAGTGTCCTGAGTATCAGTCTCCTCGGCTGGAAGGTGGGTGTGCACCTCAGAGTGAGCCTGGGAAAAACCAGGGTAGACCATGGCAAGTGCCCGGCACGCGGCACCCAATCCGTGCTGCTCGACTCAGCGGCATCTGGTGGACAGTTTGCATCTGTCTCCAGTATTGGACCTTGCCGGAGACCTAGACCATCTGGCTGTGCCTGGATCTGCTCAGGCCCAACCAGAGCCGCCTGGGAACTTGGGCCTCTGAGGGCAGCCAAGTGAGTCTCATCTTTCCTCAGAATTGTCCATCAGATTTTGCTTGCTCAGTGAAGTACGAGGAGACCCTGCCTCGTGCGTGTCAAGAGGCCGAAGGGGTGCCCACTGTCCTCGGGGGCAGGGGGAGGCACACCCTGCCGTAGGGCACAGGCCAGAGAACGCCAGCGTAAAGGCCATTTCAGCTCCAGCACAAACCAGTCATTCCTCTCTCCAAGCCTCAATTTCCTCTTGTGTAAAATGGGGTCATTATTTGCTTCCTTGCCTCCCACATGGGACTGATGGGAGGAGAGAGTGACCTGCCGCCATGACAGAGACCTGGGTGTTCAGATCCACAGCTGGGGCCTCAGGCCCGCCACTGGCTGGACAGGCAAAAATACGGCTACGGGGGATTACAGTGGGTATTGATGCTCGATCCGCTCCACCCAAGGTCAGCCTGGGGTGAGCCCCCCAACACTGGGTTTGGGTTCCATGGACTCGTGGTCTGGTCCCAGCTCCAGGAGCCCAGGCAGATCACCTGTGAGCCTGTGACCTCCGTCTCCTCACCTGTGGAGGTGATCTCGCTCCCCTGGTGACTTAGTGCTGCTCTCTCTCCCAGCCCCAGAGATGCTCGAGGGCCCTGCAGGCAGAGGTATGCAGCCTGGGCACTGCTCTGAGGCCTCCTGCCATGGCTCCTGCACACAGCGCCTGGCACACCCAGCCCCACGGTGGCCCAAGCTGCCCGCAGCTCTCAGGTCCACATGGCACAGCCCAGATGCACAGGCAGCCCCGGCTCACCCCTCCAGCTCCGTCTGTCTGTCTCTGTCTCTTCTCCGTCTCACCCTCTCTTCCCCCTTTCATCTTCCCAGCAATAACTGGGGCTGAAACGACTGGTCCAAGTCACTCCCTTGGGGCGCTGTAAACATCAGGACACACAGGAGGTGGGAGTCATCTCCCAGCCAAGGGGCCGGAAAGGGTGGAGGCTCGGCCGCCAGGCTGCCAGGCCAGCGCAGAGGGTGCCCACCGGCTCCCTACTGACTCCAGGCACTTGGGCAAATGTCCCCTGCAGCGCAGCCAGAAGCCTTCCTGCGATGTGGAGGAATGCCTCCTCTCCCTCCTGCAGTTCCGCTCTGCTTGTTCCCGAACAGATGACAACAGAGATGGAGCATATGGGCCCCAAAGTCACCGGGCATTCTGGGAAAGTGACACTGTGCTTCCCCGGGCTGAGGAGGAGGGGCCCTCGCTCCTGAGCTTCTCCCTTTGTTCTTCAGAAGGGCACAAGGTCACCTCTCCAGAGCCTCCGAAAGGAACAGTGCTCATTCAGCCTTCGGGAGGAGTTGCTTCTGCCTGGGAGGCAGAGCGAGGGAGGGCACACATGGCAGGGAGAACACGTGGGTGCCAACTTAGAGCCCCCTGGGCCCCCAGCCGCCACCCAGGCCGTGCTGCCTTCCTGGAAGCCCACCCAACCTGGCCTCCAACTCCCCTTCCCCAGCGGCATCTCAGCATCGGTCCCCTTGGAGATGCTGCAGCAGGTGTGTTGGGCGATGCCACAGGAAGCTCGCCGGAGACACCCAGCTGTGGACCCTAGATGCTGTGGCACCCTTCCTCCCCGCCCAGCTCACAGAGATCTGTGTGCCTCCGAGCTAGGCCACGCAGGCTGCCCCTGTCAGGGGGGTTTTCCTTGTCCAAACTGGGAAGGCCGGCTAAAGGGACTCTGGCCAGCCCAGGGTGGGGAGGCCCGATGTGCTTCCTTCCTTCCTGAGAGGTGTCCAGGCAGGTCCATTCCCTCCCAAGCCGGGCTCAGGGCAGCCAGGGCACCTGCATCTCATGTCTGGACCCTCAGCTCTCCTGGCTAGGTGATGAGCCCCTTGAAGGCCACTCACTTTCAAGTTGAGACAGCCCCTGGGCTGTGGGTCAGGCTGAGATGTACCAGGAAAGCTGCTCTGAAAGCCCAGCCCAAGAGGGGGCAGGAAGGGCCTCAGAAAGCTGGAGGCTGGGGGAGCTGCAGCTGGCAGGCTGGAAGGGGAGGGAGCAGAGGAGCTGGCAGTCGAGGGAAGCTAACGGGGAGCCCCTTTCTGCTCACACACTGGCTCCCTGAATCTGAGGTTACACAGTCTTGGGGAGTGGAAGAAGCGTCCAGATGTACATTCCTTAACTGAGACCACTGAGGAGGAAGGAGGAGACACTTTGCAGTCCCCTTTCACATTAGACGGGTCACCAGGATGACCCTCTGGTTACCTGTTTCTTGCTGGACTTTCCTGGCAACTCTCAGGAGGTGTGAGTGGGAGTCTTGCTGCTTCGGGACAGGGGAGGGGACCTGGCCTGCCTGTGGGCTGAGTAGCTAGAGCCCAAACAGGCCACCTGGAGGTGGCACTGAGCCCTTCAAAGTCCAGCCCAGGCTGACCCAGAGTTGATCGGCACACACCAACGCACCCCTCCTTTCTGGCCCTGACTCAGGCCTCCCCTTCTCACAGATGGTGACTTATTCATAGGAGAACGCTAGACAAAGAAGAAACTAGAAAGAATTGACATATGATTCTCTGGTGTCTGGGCAGCAACTGGCCTGGAAGGCTGGTGGCGCGGGTGCCAGGCCTTGCCGACCAGCTGTTGGAAGGGGAAAGGCCCAGGCAGCACGGGGGGGGGGGGGGGGAGGGTAAGGACGGGCCCTCCCCTCCCCCAGCGGTTAGGCTGGAGGGGGTGTCGGGGGAGGTCAGGGGATGGGGCATCCAGAGCCTTGGCTGGGCAGCCGCCACACTAGGGCCTTGGTCCCCACTGCTCTCACAGGTGTGGAGCAAAGAAGCAGGGCCAGGGTGGTGATGTGCCATTGCTGGGAACGCCTGTCACCGCCTGCTCCTCTTCTCCACAGGGCCACCCGTTCATTGTGCAGTTCAACGACGGAAACAGCACTGTGGTGTCCATGTGGGTGTGCAGGGCGCTGGAAGAGAGGCGGAGCCAGCAGGCGCCCCCGTGAGCCTGGCAGGGGCGCTAAGAGCCCAGGACTGGTCGCCCAGGGGAGGACCCACCTGTGGCACCCCCTCTACTTTTACTGTCTGCACCAGAAGAGCTTTGCTGCGCCTGGGCCCCCCTGCTCTCAACTTAGACTCTGTCTGAAGATGGCCTGGCCTGAGGCGCCCTCAAGGGTGACCAGCCCTGCCAGGGCAAGCCCTCCCCTCTGGTCTGGACGCACTGACTGGGGGGTAGGGGTGTATGGAGGGTGGGAGCATCAAGAACCATGTCCCTGTTCTTCCTTTTTCCTAACATTTTCCTCTGTAAAAGGCCAGCATCACTGATGGGAATAAAGGTGTCAGTGCTTTGTAACCGCCTCCCCCACAATGGGGGTCCACGATGTAGGGAGTGTGTTACCCACTCAGGATTGGGGGCTGGGCTCTGTTTCAGTCATACCCCTGTGCCTGGAGCCGCCCATCCCCAGGCACCTGTACGCAAGCACCACAAACCAAGCCCCAAGGCAGAAGTGGTTGGAGCTGGGAGTGGGGAGCAGAACAACCCCATCTGGGTGGTGGGAAAGGAGGGCTAGAGAACCCAGTGGTTTTGAGGCCCTACTACCACCTCCCTCACCCCCCACCCCCAAGGGGGTGGGTGCAACCCTTGTCCCTAGGCCCAGAGAACCTGTTTCACCTCTGGCCAGGTATAGCCACCCTCTCAGGTAATCCTCTCAAGCAGCCACCAGGTAAGTGTGGTTACCCCCACTTGACAGGCCAGGAACTCAGGCTCAAAGACTTGGGCCTCCATGTGGAGATCTGAGTGGCGGGTGGATACATCTAAAAAGCACAGTCCCGGGGCCACCCACACTTCAGAGCCTCCCCTACCGTGCTCCCCACTCCATATGGCACCTTCCTTCATCCCCCTGACCCCCACCACTGCCAAGACCAAATGCTGGGACTCGGTTTTGACTTCCGTAGCACTAACCTGGCCCACCTGGAGGTTGTGACACCCTTGTCTTCAGAATGTATTGTTTACCCCTCACCCTGGTGTGAGGCACCACATCCGGACCACTGCCAGCCTCCTACCAGGCCCCTGCTCCCACGCTGCCCCTGCTGCTTAGAGGAAGCCAGTTAACACAAAGCAGGTGGTGTCTGTCCCCTCTCAGAAACCACAGGGACCCAGCTCACTGAGGACACGCCTGTGAAGACCTGTATTCTACCCCCGTTACCTCTGACCTCAACTCCCCTCACCCCCGACTCCATTGCAGCCACCTCACCTCCTCATGGATCCTTGAACAGCTAGGCATCCCCCCGCCTCTCAGGGCCAACCATACCCCAAAGGTTCTCCCTCCCTCCCTAGTGTAGGACTGTTCCCGAGATACAGCTGCGCAGGCTGGGGCTGCCTCTCCCAGTCTCCATTGCGCTTAACAGGGGCCACATGACTGGTGCTGGTGAGGAGAATGGGAGCAGGTGGTATGTTCAAGATGGAGACGTACCGTCTACTTGCGCTGGACTGTACATGAGCTAGAACTAAGTGACTTTGCTGATTCGTTACTGGCAGCTGGTCTTACACCAATCCACACAGGCCTTTGCACCTGGTGCTGGAGAACTGTCCCCCTAACCCCCCTGATTCCCCATGACCCACTTCCACACCCTTCAGATCTTTGTTCAAATGACACCTCACCTATGTCATGTTAAAAATCAATGTTGCTTCAATAAAAAGTGTTTTAAATGAGTCCTGGCTGGCTCATATTGTTTAAAAGTGCCCCCTGCCACACCTGCTCCCCAGAACTCATTCCCGTTGCATGTTACTTTGTGAGAGACCATTAATTGTATATTTATAATTTTTTTGCATAGAAGAACTGGGATGTAGGCTAGAGGTACAGAGGAGAGATAGTGAGAAGATTTACTTGAGATAGAGTGGGGAGCACATCAAGCAGACTGGCTGAAATACACTGCTGAGGGGAGCAGCAGGTGAGATAGAAGAGGTCTGCCGCACCATGTGGGTCACCTCCCTGGTGGGGGGATTGAACTGAAGCAGTAGCAGTCGCAGCGCTGAGACTTAACCCCCCAGGCCCCCAGAAAGCCCATTGATTATATTTTATTTTGTACCTGCCCCTCCCCCACCACCATGTCATTCCACAAGGGCGGAGATTCTAATTTGTTTACACACACCGGGCCAAGGACAGAATTTACAATAATGTCTGTTGACTGACTGAGCAAGAGTGGCAGAGCCGTGGCCCCCACCCAGGCCCAGGCCCAGGCCCTTGCCCACGAAGACTTCACCCTGTGTGTGGCATCCTTTTGTTTGCTTGGGCAGTGCTGGAGCCACTGGGATTTTAGTGACCTTTCTCCAAGCCTCCAGCCCACTTAGCCTCAGACAGCGCTTCTGCCTCTCCCGGGGTGCCTGCTGTGTCCCTGTGGCTGGGAGGTGCAGAATGGGATGAGGCGTTCTAGGCTGCTGCCCAGGGTCAGTGCTCAGTGCAGGGAGAGCAACAGGAGCCCCCGCAAACCCCCCCCCCCCCCCCCCCCCGCCAGAGGAAGAGCCAGACACCAGCAGATGTAAAGCTTATCCTTGCTCAGAGAAGATGCATGCAGCAAGCCTGTTAACCCCAAACTCCAGGCCAAGGGACAAAGGGAAAAGCGATGTCACATGCCAGGCATCTTACTTTATCAGCACATTTAATCTTCACAGCGAGCCAGATGGCATTGTGGTTATGCCGCTTCTACATACAGATGGAGAAACCAAAGCTCAGAGAGGCCAGAAGACTTGCCCCAAGATCATGCAGCAGGTAAGCAGCAGAGCACACTTTGGCACTCAGACCCCCACTCTTTAAGGCTCCAGAAGTCAGCTCCCAAGCTGGGCATGGAGCGTGCAAGTGCACACATGTCCCGTCCTCTGCACAGAAGGTGCACACAAACTCCGTGTGCAAAGATCTGTGTCGGTACCTTTGGACTGGGACCCCAAGATCTGCTCTGTGACAAGCACCCCAAGGATTCGAGAGGCAGAGCACCAACCAATGGCTTCCAAAAGCCCTCTCAAGAGGATGCATCGAAGCCCCTGGAGACTGGCTTCCAAAGTGACCTGGGACAAAGCGTGGCTCCACCGAGGCTCAGCTTCCACATGGGTCAATGCAGGGCCTGAGCACACCGAGTCGCCAAGCACCTCCCAGCCCTGACGTCCCAGAACTGGGGTTTTCTCCCTTTGTGGCCAGGGAACACTGAGCAACCAACAGATCCTTGTCCTGCTCACAGGCACACAGTTCTCCCCACAACATGTGGGTGCATGGAGCCCCCTGGAACCCATCCATTTGTGGCCTCCAGCAGCCAGTTTAGGTCTAAATTGCCCTCTGGTGAAGGGTGGGAAGATGCAGAGCCAGGTCACTCCTGAGGGGTTCTCCCACAAAAAGCCCTTGGGCTGGGGGGGGGGGCTCGAAGTCCTTGGCAGCCCTAAGGCCAAACTTGCCCCCAGGGCCTGTGGGAAGGCTGAGAACCAGAACAGTGAGGGGCAGGAATGAATTCTTCCTTCTGGCAGCATCCCACACACCTGTGTGTAGCCAACTCCCACTCTCCTCAGGCCCCTCTCAAGCAGCAGCTCCGCTGGGATACTTCAGGTTCCCTCCCTGCACAGGGTGAGTTGTGAGCCGCTTATGAACAGGGAGGGATTCTTCCAGGAGGGAGGAGTGAGGAGGCTGGCGCATCTCGGGATGTGGGCGCCAGGCCTGAGGCCTTGGAGCAGTTCCTCCCTGGCAGGCCTCCTCACTAACCTGCCCTGGTCCCTTGCTCTAACCTCAGTGACGTCCATGTGCCTTCTAACCAGCACCTCCAGGGGACCAGGGAGGAGGAGGCAGACCACAGGACCCTGAGTCCTGGGAGGGCGGAAGCAGGTCCCGAGGCAGCTCTCAGACAAGAGAGGAGGCAAGGGAGTCATCAACCGGGCAGCTCTCGGGGTGAGCTCCCACACAGTGCCCGGACCAGGCCCAGGCCCCATGTTGAGGGATCAGCTGTTTTCATTTCAGTTAGAAGCAGCTCAGTCCGAGGGAAGGCAGGAAGATGAAGCCAGTGTCAGCCCTGAGGGGCGTAAGGTAAAGGTCAGTGGGTGTGGCGAGGTGGGAAGGGTGGGGAAGGGGTGCTCAGTGGTTTAGGACCCCTGGAGCCCAGCCCTTTGTGAACAAGGGCTGGCTATTGCTCAGGGAAGGGGAGGGAACAGGGAAGCCGGAGGCAGTCAGCCAGCCCGGCCAGGCTGGGCTTGCAGGTGCTTCCTTTGTCATCACTCCTTTCTGGTTAGCAGAAACCATGTCCCCGCCCACCAGAGGTGCCCATCAGCCAGGGTGCAGGAAGAGTCGGGTGGAGCTGGCAGTGTGGGGGGTCTGCTTTGGGGAGCCAGGAATCAGCCTGGTACAAGCTACCAAAATGGATTATAACATTGGGTGGTGGGCACCAGCAGCGCTCAGGCCTCCTAATGACAAATTTTCTGCTGAACAACTACAAATATTCGCTGTGACTTTGGACAGAGTCTGAAAAAGACTTTGTTTCCTCCCTTGGCGGTATCATTTGTCTTGTTTTGAAGCCAGGAGATTGCAGGCACGAACTTATAGACTAAAGTTTGTCTTAATTGCTGTGGTGTCACCACCTCTCTGGCAGATAACAGCACAATGAACGAGTCGATGGGGCTGAGCCCTCCAGGTCCTTCTTCTAAAGTGAGACAAATTTCCCTCCTTTGAGCCAGCAGTCCATCGGCATCTCTGTCATTTATTTATCTCCCTAACACTTTGCATTAACTTGCAAGGGATAAAAAGTCTCTCCTGCCCGCAGACTTAGTTAAAAGTATCCAGTCAGGAAAGTCAGGCTGTGCTGCTGGTCCTTCCTAAGAATTAGCTCCCCCTTTGGGGAGCTGGGGCAGAGGAGGGAGAACAGTGAGGGAGGCAGGGTATCCAGAACTCCAGGGCCCAGATCACTTTAATTCTGAGAAGAGAGTTAAGCCGTTCAAGTGTTGACCCCAGGTATGAATGGCCTGGGTCCCTCACAAGCTGGCACTGTGCCTGGTGATACCCATGCATGGCAAGTATTTTGGGGGCCTTCCCTGGTGGCGCAGTGGGTTAGGATGCAATGCTGCAAGCCAGCCGCAGCCGCCTCAGTACCAGTTCGATCCCGGATCTGTAGGTGACCCACATGGCACAGCAGACCCCCCGCTGCTCCCCTCAGCAGTGTACTTTGTCACTCTTCCTGTCCTGCTCCCCATGCTGTCTCTGCACCTCTCATTGCCCCTGCACCTCTGGCCTGTACCCCAGTTCTGTATGCATACATAAATAAATCTTTTTTTTAAAATGTACTTTGCCTTCCGTGTGTTCTACCTCTGGAGGGCAGGGCCCTCCAAAGTGGGTGACCCACTTTGTTTAAGGGTCAACTGTCCTATTATCAGGTAATATCATATGGGCATGGTGCTCTGGCTTCACAAATACCATATTTGATCCTCCCAGCTCCTCTGCAAGGCCTGGACATGGTTTACCCTACTCTGTATTCCCATCACAGGGTGATGCTCTGTGTTTTGAATGAAGTGAGCCCGCCCTGCCTCTGCATAAGCTGTTCCCTGGGCCTTGGATAACTTTGTCTCCTGCCCAGCTCCTATTCATCCTCCAAAACCCAGCTGAAAAGCACTCTAGGGAGACATTTCTCCACACCTACCTGGTCCATCTATGGCTGTATGGGGCCCAGTCATGGCCTACCTTGCTGTAATCCCCTTACCTGTTTTCCTGTCCTGGCTATCAACCACATCCCAGTGAGAACTCCAGGAAGGCAGGAACCAGCCAGCACAAAATACTCTCCAGCATCCTGGGCTGCTCAAGGAACTCCCGTTAAGTAAATGGAGGGGAGGAGGTTGGGAAGTTGGAACTTCAGTGAACTTAGTGACCTGGCTGCCACTTCTCACCGTCTGGGAAGAAGGCCCTAATGAATGCACCATTGAGCTGCAGAGTGGAATGCTCTTTAATTTCTCTCAACTGTTCTGCATTTTTCTAATGTAACATAATGAACACATACTTTTATCATAACAATATAACAATAATTGGTTTTTAAATCTTTTGGTTAGCAAGACACCCAAATCGAGCACTTTTCTTCTACCCCACTGCATCCTGGGGCCCTTTTTGTCAATCCTGTCAATTCCAAGTCAGTGGAAAGTAGCAATGAAAGGCCTGGGCTGGGAGTCACCCCAACTTGGGCCCCAGACAGACTCATTTGTGACCAGGGCAGGTGCCTCACCTCTCTGGGCTTCATGCTCCTCTTGGTAAAAATGCAGTAATGACAATGCCCACGTCATGAGCTCCTGATGTCATTATTAAATCATCCTTGTCGATGACCGTGACATTCACAAAACACTTCCAAAGAGCTGGTTTCCTCCCCCTTCCTCCTGGTAGGTACCCTGTTCAACACCCACACAGACCTTACTCATACCCTGCAACCCCCCACTTTTTCATCTGCTTTCCACCCTTGATGTCTGGAGGAGTAAGAAGATGAGGATGTAGGAGGCCTCAGCCATTGAAGGCCTGCCACAGGTGTTCTGGGTTCTAATGACAGTGCCAGTCCGGTGACCATACTGCCCCCCGACTGGGGTAATCCTTGACCCACACCCGGCCCACCTCAGGAGTGGCCCACCTTTGGTTTCCTCAGGGGAACTGTGCAGCACTGGACAGTAACTGCACATTCAGCTTTGGCCACACCCAATAAAGCTGAAGTCTAGGCTGTGGTGCCTCTGGAGTCTAGGCTGTGGTGCAGGGAGCCAAAGGTGAGACAAAAGTACCCTCTTATCCTCACCACACCTGGATGTGCATACCCTCACCTATATACTGTTAATCATCAAGGTCCTCCCCTCCCAGCACACACACACACACACCAGCTTCCCAGGGCCTCTTTGTTGAAAGATACCTGCAGTAGGCAGAATATGCTAGCTCCCCCAAAGATGTTCAAACCTTAGTATCCAGAATCTATGAAGACATGGCATTATATAACAAAGGGGAATTAGGTTATAAATGGAATTAAGGTTGGTAATCAGCTGACCTTAAAATAAGACCAAGCTAGGCCCTCCCAGGTGGCACAGTGGTTTGGAGCACAGCACTGCAAAGCTAAGCCAAACTGTGGCTGCTTCAGTGTGAGTTCGATTCCCAGTACTGGAGGTGACCCACATTGCACAGCAGATCTCTTCTGTCTTGTCTGCTGCTCTGCTCAGCAGTGTAATTCCTCTATCTGCCTGCTCTGCTTCCCACTCTGTCTCTGGTGAATCCTCTCACTGCTCCTGCTTCTCTGGCTGTACCCCATGTCTGTATGTATAAAATCTTTGAAAAAAAAAAAAAAAGACCAGGCTAGAATCTCCAGGTCAGCCTAATATAATCACCTGTCCTCTAAGATAGAAGAAGGAGACAACAAACAGATTTGAAGGTGCTATACTGTAGCACCTGAAGGTGGAGGACTAAGCCAAGGAATGCAGGTCATCTGTCGAAACCAGAAAAGGCCAGGAAATAGATTCTCCTTAGGGCCTCCAGCAGGAATGCTGTCCTTCCCATACCTTGACTTTAGCACAGTGAGACCTGTTTCTAACTGCTGACCTCCAAAACTACAAAATAATACAGTGTTATAGCAAACAAAAGAAACTAAAGGAATGTTTCCTCTTCATTCCCAGCCCAGGCTGTTCTAAATGCCTTTGAAACAAACCTATGTGTACATCCCTTTACTGTTCCAAAGCCCATGTTTCAGTGGAGTGGCTAGACAGTTTGGGGGGGAGAAACCTGCATTAACAGAAGGGACTAGTATGAATAGATATCCATGTGCAAAACAATGAATTTCGATCCCTACCTCAGATCGATTGTATACAAAATTTAATTCATAGGCTACTATGTCAAAGTTGAAACTGTAAAGTTCTTAGAGTAAAATATAGAAGTATGGGCCCTCCCTGGTGGTGCAGCAGGTTAAAGTGCAGCACTGCAAGCCAGCCACAGCCGCTTCAGTGTGAGTTCTATCCCCAGCCCCAGAGATGACCCACATGGTGCAGCAGACCTCTCCTGACCTGCCCGCTGCTCCCCTCAGCAGTGTACTTTGTCAGTCTGCCTGCTCTGCTCCCCACTCTGTCTCTGGTGAATCGTCACATCACCCCTGCACCTCTGGCCTGCACTCCAGATCCGTATATATAAATAAATAAAATATTTTAAAATAAATAATTATAGAAGTAAATAGTTTGATCTTGGTTTTAGTAGAGACTTCTCAGTTATGACGCCAAAAGCACAAGTAACAAAACAAGTTTTTTAAATGTATCAATTAGATAAATTATACATCAACATTAAAAATTTTGTGCCTCAATATTAACCATAAGAAAGTGAAAAAGCAATTCATAGAACAAGAGAAGACATTTGCAAATCATATATCTGATAAGGAACTTGTATCTGAAATATATTAAAGGCTCTTTCAGCTCAGTAATGAATACACAAATAACCCCATTTAAAAAGTGAGCAAAGGAGCTAAATAAACATTTCTCCAAAGAACATATACAAGCAAATAAGAAGGATATGAAAAGATGCTCAAAATCATTAGTTATCAGAGAAATGCAAGTCAAAATCACAATCACACCTGTGCTGAGGACTTTCTAAAGAGCCTTATGGCTAAGCTGGGAGTGCAGGAGAAGAGTCCCTGGGGGAAGGGGAGCAGCTGATAATATGGACAAGCACCCCAACTAGGGGTTGGAGGTGGGTGGGGAGAAGAAGGTCCAGGCCAGCTTGAGCTACTACCATACACCTCTTTCCCAAATACCTCTGCTAGTTACTGGAGTTTCTTTGCTTGAGTCAAAGAAGTCTCTTTCCTCAGGATGAATGTCTACTCCTTTTCATCCTGACTTGTATCCCCAAATGCAGAGAGAGCTCAGAGGTGTAGTACTGGGCCCCAGGACCTTAAAGCCATCTCAGGTCCTCCTGGCTCTGACCTTCCTCAGGCTTAAGGGACCAACACTCTAGCACTACCCTCCAGTCGCACCTTCCTCCCCTCAGGGGTCTGGAAGAAAGGCTCTGGTCCCCTGCAATGCTTCTGTGCCTCCAGTTCAGCCCTTCACTCCCCATCAGTTTCTCTAGGCTGCAGATGCACATACTGGGGCCACACACAGAAACTTGGTCACTCAAGTGGTCAGCAGAGTGGCATCTCACTCATGATGTCAGCAGGAGCAGCGAGTTCCCTGCTGGGAAGAGCTCAGAGGGTCTCTAAGCCTCTTCTGGGTGGCTGGAACCTGGGATGTGAGGCTTTTGGAAAACTTCAGCTCTCCCCTGGCCTCAGTCCACCCAGTCACTCCCAGAATGAGGTGAGTCTTCACTCCAGTCCTGTGGCCCTTGGCTCCCCTTAACCTCACCTCTGCTGTCCGACCAAAGCCCAGTATACCCCACCCAACCATCTTCATAAGCTTGGGTCCAGGCCACTGCAGGGGGATGGAGTCTATCTGGCCGTCAGATTAATATCCAGATATTAAGTAAACAATAAATTAGCAAAACTACAAGAAAATTTTACAGCCCTTTGCATTTGGCAATCATTGAGTGTTAATTAGAAATTCATTACAATTAAAACCCTGCCTAAACAGGGCCTGCGCGCCTTAATTACATCTGATTTTTAATTCAGAATACGTGTTTACACAGTAAGCGCTACGTACCCCATGATTATCCCCAATCCTCTTTATACTGTACTAATTATGTAAATTAAACCTAATTAACTGACGAAAACTGCCGTTAATTCAACTGGTAAAAGATATGTGCTTGTGGAGGAAGCGCGGCTGCCCAGCCCCAGCCCGAGCCGGAGCCGGAATGGGCACAGGACGCTGGGCCGCATGGACGCGACGCCTGGGACGCGGAGGCAGCTAGGGCTGAGCGGGGAGAGGGGGAGCGTGCAGATGCCTCCCAGTTGACGTCCGGCCCGCCCACCCTGGTGCCCTCTGCTGTGAATAAAAGAGAATCCGTGCTAATAACGGTCAGGAAGGCCAAGGGCTGCAACTCCTGCAGACACCGCAGGTTATAAAGAGGGCTGCAAGCCCCAGAACCCTCTCTGAGGAACAGGGACCCCCAACTCCCCCACACCCGGGTCTGAGGCAGACTGAGTTCAAGTCCTGGCGCTGCCTGCCACTGGCTGCCTGAAAGTGAGTAAGTGACCTGGCTTTGCTGGGCCTGTCCGCGCCGGTATCACCGAATGTTGTGAGTGGGGTAATAAAATCTGCGGAGCAGCGCGGCGCTGCACACGTCTTGCTTCCCTTCATTCACTAAGGGTGCAAAGCACATTTTGGGTCTGGGTGACCAGCCCGGATTGACCGAGGTACCTGGGTAAGTTGTTTTCCACGGTTTGACCCTCAGTTTCTTGCCTGTAAAATGGGAACAAATTATGTTTACCTAGTCCCAGGATCGTTGTGAGAACCAGCTCCATAAACTTTCGCATGAGGTCTGTGGTGATACTGGCCAACTGCCTGCTTGTCCAGAGTAAGTCCGACCCCAAAGACCCAGTCCCCAGAGACCACTACCCCTCCACCTAGCGGGGGCGCCTCCCCAGACTCTCCTGCACTAGCCTTCACACTTAATCTGTCTAGGTCCTGGAAGCTGGGTGGGTCTGCGTAGCTGGACCTGGGTGTAGGGAGCTGTCCTCAGTTTAGTGCTGAATGGGAACGCAGAGGCTACCTGGTCCACCCTAGGTGAGATAACTCTTGGAGGCAACTTTTGTTTGTGAAGCCCCAGGCGTCCTGCAGCCGGGCTGCGGGGAAAGTGCTAAGGCTGGCCCCGAGGGGTTGTGGCCCTTGCAGTACAATAGAGGCAGGACAACCAGGCCCTGCTTAAGGAGACCCTGCTCCCCTCTTTCTACTCTCAACTCCCTTTCCACCACCACCACCACCGGGCGTCCAGGCTCCACGATCTTGTCACCACCACCCCGAATTCTGAGATGCCTTCTGAAAAATCATTAAGAGGCTAAGAGTAATTACAACAGGGATTGTAATTATGGAGTGGGGGATGCCGGTTTGAGGGAAGGGGGACGATCAGGTGGGGACTGGCGGCGGTTCTTAGATTAGGAAGGAAATAGGTTCCTGATTTCTTCGGAGGGAAGTGAAGGGGGTATAGAAAGGACAGAGTTAGATCGGGACAGAGACGTTGTCTGGGAAAGATGAGTCAATGAGGGGCCAGAGGCAGAAAGAAAAAGGGATTGAGTAGACTCTGGGAGAGAAGAGAGAAAGGTGAGTGCAAGAGAGAAAAGGACTGGGACTGAAGGAGGTGCGAGAGCAAGGACCTGACTTAAAAAAAAAAATGCCCGCAGAGACAGAGACCTCAAACTTGGAAGGAGTTTTTGAGGCCTCAGAAAACAACGTAACCGACGGGGGAAAGGGGTGACAAATGCGTCCAAAGCCCAAGCCTGGGCTAAGCCTGGGAGACCCGTTCGCCCCCTCAGAAGGTTTTTCTGGGGTAGGGTCCCTGTGAGTCGGGGGGGGGGGGACAAAAGAAAAGCGAGAGAGCAGACATGGAGAAGAAAAGGAGACGAACCCCAGAAGACCCGAATGCAGCGGGAGAGAGCTCCTGTAACCCGAAGCGAACAGGGAAAACGAGGGGCGGGGGCCAGGGCGATTGTACGCCGCTGGCCGCGGAAGATTTATGGCGCCGCCCAGGTTCCAAGGACAGGCTGTGATCCCGGCGGTTTTGCCGTGGTCGGTAGCCGCCGAGGCCGCTGCGCCCCCTGCCCGAGCGGACGCCGCGCCCCGGGCCATCCCTACCATTATTAACTTCTGTTTGATTAGGGTAATTGTTCAAACTTGGGCCGGACAGTATGATTAATTACAGTTTAATTAACGTGTCCATTAAGGACACTTAATGCCGGGGGTGGGGTGGGGTGGGGGAGGGACACGAAGGAGGGGGTCACCCGGTGCAGGAACAGAGGGAGGGGATGCGACTGGTAACTCAGATGAAGCAGAGATCGAGATGGAGAGAGAAGGATAAAACCCAGTGTGGGTAGTGGGAAACGATTGGTGGACAGGAATCGCCAGAGGAAACGGCGGAGAGAAATGGAGTTTCTGGAGGAGAGAAGGGGCCAAGGGACTCCTGCAGCGTCGGGGATCTAGGTTCCCACCACGGAGAAACTGAGTTCTCGGGAGAGCTAGAGAGAAAGCTGGCAGTCAGCTAGAGCGTAGTTGATCCCAGGTATCTCCCAATGATGGTTTGGCTCCAGCCTTGGGCTAATTGGTGTTGGTGCACAGAGGCATTAAAAGGAAGGGCCAAATCTTGCCCCTTTCCCACCCCCCAATTCATTTCCTAAGTTCCCTACTCAGTGGTGGAAGCCTGAGATCTTCCCTGCCCAAGCTGGGACTATCCCGACGCCTCCCCTCCAAGTCCGAAGCGGTGGGGGAGTTAGTATTGCCCCTTCCAGCTGTCACTCTCCAGCACCCCAAACCCGAGTGTCTGTCCTGGCTGCTGATGACCCTACTGCCTCCGCAGCGTCACTCGGGCTTCAACACCCTGACCCTAAAGTCAGTACTCCTCCCTGCGCCCCTTCTTCCTGAGCTCCATCACCTGGTCTTGGCCAGGCCCACGCCTGGCCCCTGGACTGGGAGCTCTGGTCTCTCCCCACTTCTCCTTGGGGGCAAATTTTGCGGCACCGGGCCCTTCCTCCCTCCTGGCCCCTCGGTTGAGCGCGGGTCGCAGGTGCCTGGCGCTGGGCGCAGGTGTGCGACCGCTTACCTGGGGCGCGCAGGCCTGGGGGCTGCGGGGAGGCGGCGGGCGCGGCGCGTGGCCCGCGGGCTGGCAGACCCCGAGAGATCCGGAGTGCCTGTGCGGGCGGTGGGTGTGGCGCCCCGGCTCGCAGCTGTCAAGCAAGCCCGCCCAGCTCCTACCTCGCCACTGGGGCTGTGACCGCGCCGTGCCCGTCGCCAAGCCATGCGCTCCAGGCTTTGGCCTCCGCTCCGGACTGTGCCGGGACCTCGGGGGCAGGGGTGCAGGTCACACGCCTCCGCTCCCGGGGCCCTGATGCCCTGCACTTGCTGAAAGCGGACGCTGAGCGGGAGGGGCC